AGGTCTGATGAAGAAAAATCCCTTTTTCCTCGAAGCTGAAACGGCTATTGCGCAAAGCAAAGTGAGAGTAAGAGAAGGAATATAGAATACAGAAGAGTAGAGAGCATGATGGGGAGTAACTTCAACACCCCTCCTGACATGAAACTGGTAACTGTACACTACCAGTGAAATGTTCTATACGTTCCTAATCATCTCTGTGGTTCAGAACCTCCCACGGGGCTCGCCGCGAGACCGTTCTTACTGTACAACACGAACATACACGAGCTATTACTTAGATGAGCTCCTTCTCGTTTCCCACATCATCCGTCTGAGCTAGAAGGTCCTCCTCCCCGTAGCCGCCCAAACCGTGCGAAACCTTCAACGCTTTTGGATGACGTCCGGCCTCCTCCTTGAATCCCATGCCTCCCATAAAACGAACTATCAAAGCCTCCTCGACGTCCTTGGTCCCAAGATCAGCTAAGTTAGTTTCACCGTCTACTTTGTGCATCTGGATGTTCCCCTTTCCTACCTGGCGCTGTATCCACAACAATGCCGCGTCCAAATGTCGCACCTTCCCGAGACCGATCCGGGAAGCGATCCCCTTGGAAGCTGTGCTGTCTGTCCGCAGACGGATCCGCAGCTCGTCGCCGAAGTCCCGGGCCATGGACTGCATGCCAAGAGAATGGCTCCCTCCTTTGACGTTCGCTACAAATTCCGCCTCTCCTGAGGACAGAGCTGGACTCGTCTGTGCAGCAGTCGAACATCGTAGGCAGTGGTTGCCAATCATCACTACCGTGCAGCTCACAGACTTCCGGTCTGTTGGGTCTGACGCCCAATCAGAATCTGTCCATACGTCAACATACCCCACAGGCTCCTGCATCTGGAACTGCTGAACCCATCGGGGGTGGCCCTTCAGGTAGCGCACCGCGCGCTTGAGCCGGTTCCAGTGGCCCGCAGTGGGCTTACTCATCCCACGGGCCAGTCGATTTGCAGAAAACTGTAGGTGCGGCAGATCTGCCGCAAGGTACGCTATACGCATAGTACATGACCTGTACAAACTCACGGAGCTATCCGCGAGCGGCTCTTCCGAGTGGTAATCGCCGCGTTTTTCGCCTGGCGTGCCCACTGCTTTGACCCTGCTGCCGGTCAGTCCAAGCTGGTCTACTAGAAGATCCACGTGTCGAGGATCAGGCTCGTAAGTCACTGTCGGCACACCGCCCTTCGTGCAGAAATCAACCAAACGGTTCAGAATGGTGATGTGCGTGTCGTCACCATCCTCAAAACCAAGCACGCCTCTCTTCTTAAGGATCATGTGTTTGCCGATTTCGTCAAACAAGCTGTACATGTGGTCTGCTTCACCTATGAACACAAGGTCGTCTCCGTGCCTCCACCAATTGACAGTTTGTTCCTGTGTCTGTACAAACATGGGTTTGACACGCCAACGTCGTAGCCCAGCTTGGTGATGATGTCGTTAAAGAAACTGTCCCATTGGTTCGCTGCGTCGCGCGTGCCGTAAATTGTGCGAAGAAGCTTTCCGACCATCCCTGGGGTAGCATCCTCCTCCGGGAGGCGGATGTACATCTCCCGCACACACGGCGCATGGAAATGAGCTCTGCTCACATCCATCACCCACATCTTCAAACGAACCGGGGCGCCTCGCACCCGCCTCGTGGTTGTCATGAAATGGAACAGATATCTAAGGCTCTCTAGTGGTGGCGTCGCGGCGAACGTGCCTTGCATGACGGGGTCTTGCCACTTGTACTCCCTGCCGACCAGCCGGGAGCGAACCTCCAAATTATCATCATCACCTCTGTTGGCATCACACCAACGCACAGAAACCAGGTTGTTGTCTCTCGCCTGTGCTGCTGGCACCTTTTCGTACACAGGGAAACCGCGTAGAAAATCCAACTCGGCGACTCTCGCTTTCCGCACCAGCGGCGTTGGTAAGAGTTTCCCAGAGACATCGTCGTAAAACTTCGCAAGGTCTTCCTCTGGATACTCTGTGGGGCCGTGGCCTGTGACCCCCGGCTCGAGGGAGGACAACGACAACTTCCCGTTTTCCTGGAGTTGCCGCCGGAGGCCACGCAGCGCCGCACTTACCAGCGCGGGCGCGCACCCCCCTGCCCCTGCAGCCTTGGAACCCGTTCTGTTCCGAAACTTGCACGTCGCAAGCTCCTCGGCGATGCACCTGCTGTTGGTGAGCCAACCGGCCCCCTGCGCCACCAGCTCGTGCCCGCCTCCTTTGGTGGCGATGGCCTGCCCCATCCCACGCTCGTCAGTGCGCACCCAGAACACATCTGGCTGCTCTAACACCCCCTGCGCGCACGGCTCTTGCAGAGACGCCGCGCCGCCACGGTGCTCGTGTAGCATGTGTCGAGCAGCGTCGATTTGCTTCCTGTGCAGCGGACAACACGCCCGGAGTTGCTGCCTGCTGCGTGCCCCGCGCGCGTCCCGCGCGCCTGCGCCAGCGTCGTCCCTGCGCTGCCGGCTCCAGGGAGGGCCGTCAGTGCCCCCCACTAGCAGATATGGCCGGATCTGCTCCTGCATTTCGTCGGCCTTCTGCCGTTGCCCTGGGACCTCCAAGTCCCACCCTGTGGTGAAGTCAAGCACGTAGCCCGGGTGAAGGCCGAACTTGCCCACCTGCGTGGCGAACCTGCTCTTGCAAAACACCTCGCCCGCAGCTGCCTCCCAGCTGCTGTCCGGAATCGGACCGCTCCTCGCGACCGAGCGCGCGGACTTGATAGACGGGCCAACTGCCGCGCCCATCTGCCGAAGATTCGCCTGGATACTACCACGATCCATGTCGTCCTCGTCTGGACCAGGAACTGGCCTATCCGCGGCGCTGGGGTCCGCGTTACCAAACGATTCTCCTTTGTCGCCGTCTCGAACCAACACTGGCTCTGACCCGGCCAGCGCAGCCTCGACGCTGCCAGGCCTTAGCGGTGCAGCCGGCCCTGCTGTAGCCGAAGCTGTCACCCCAGAATCGGCGGCCGCTGCTGCCGGCCCCCCTCTTGCGCCTGGCGCAGACTGCCGCGGCGCTCCCCGCGACGGTCTACTAGCAGGCATATTGATGGGCCGCTTCGGCTGCTGCGAATCAATACCTCCCTGCTCCTCCCTTGGTGCTGTCCGCGGTGCTTCCCGCGAAAGTTCCCCCTGCTCCTGCCTAATTATGCGCCGTCCGCGGGGCTTCCCGCGAAGGCTCCTCCGTTGTGCTGTCTGGCCCCAAAACTTCTCCAGGTTCCAGGGTTTCCCCTGGCGCTGCTCGCGCCCCCGGGACGCCTGCTGCCTCCCTGTGCGCCTCCGCCTCCTCCAGACGGACGCCAAGCTCGGTATCTTGAGCCATGGCGTCTTCGATCCTTTTCCTACACTCTTGTGTGTGCGCCCTCGGCTTGTGACCAAAAGCTGCTGCTAGGCATCCTTGGCACCCGTCTGTGCACCCAAAACGGGCAAGTTCTACATCTCTTCGGATGTATACGCGCCTCGGGACCCAAAGTGCCGCTGGTGGTGGTGGCAGGTGTGGTGGTAATTCCGACTCAGGCACGACTGGTTCCGTCGCCGCCATCACGGGTGCGCCCCCCGGCTCAACCGTGTCGACAACCTCGGAGTGGCTCCACGGATACCCCCTGATGGCCTTCACCAGCTCCGGGTCTTTAGCCTGGACCGGCGGCAATCTCTTGACGCAATTCACCTTCCGGACACCCTGTGGCGCCCCGATCAAAACCATGTTTGAGCGCTCTACCAGTCCAAGGTAGACTCCCGTCTCCCATCGGTCTTCGAATTTGCGCCTCTGCCGCTTCTCTGATACTCTCAGAAACATCACTGCTTCTGCAAAGGCTGGAAGTTTGCGACGGTACGGTCTGCCTTTCCTCAGCTCGTACGCGGCACGGCCATCTTTCAAAACCTTTTGACCTCTGTTGATGACCTGTGAGGCGTACTCCACTGCCCAAACACGGACAGGATGAGTCAAAGGAAGTTTTACTCCATGGAACTCCTGGGCCGCATGGACCAGAGTCCGGGTTTTGGACTCCACCTCCCAGATGGCCCTCTCCACCACACCATTTTGTTGAGACTCCCCGGCCCCACTCTCCTCCATCTTAACTGCGATGGCCTCCCCACATTTGGATCGAAGTTCTTCGACGGCTGCGGTCTTGAGCGCCTTGATGGCGTTTTCGCCGTCTGACTTGTAGATGAAGTGCTGCAGACCACTCTGTTCCAGGTCGTGCGCCGTGACTTTGACGGCCCATTCATCTACTCCTTTGCGCCTCACAACATGTGACGTCAACCACCTATCCTGGAAAATTATATGTACAATTATAATTAAACATCGATCACACATCCTCCCCTCCTCCACCGTCTCCCCCATGAAACAGTAATCACAAGAGACACAAGGTATTTTCAGATCGTCGCTCTCCCGCCTAAAATGAGTGTCTGCCTTCCCACAACCAGCCACGCACGATCTACACCAACTCTGGCAAGGACAATGATCAACACTATGCCTTGCAATCTCCTCCGCCGAAGGAAGACTTGGGGAGGGGAGAGCTCGAATGACCCCGCCTCCAGCGTTGGCCATGTGAGACTGGAGATGAGCGCCGCCATCCCCTCCTTGGCCCGCGGGGCTGCCCGCTGGTGCCCTCGGCCCTGCGGCCGGCACAGGTGCGCTCGCGGGGCCGTCCGCCGAGCCACCTGGCGAAACTGACTGTGAAACATGAGGCCCCGCTGCTAGTGCTGCCGGAAGGGCCGCGGAGCTACCCGCGACCGTTGGAGCACCTGAGCTTGCCTCCTCCACGGGACTTACGGCCAGACCAGCCCGTCTCAGTTTGACGGCAGGATGACTCTTGCGTCGAGCTCATACCTGCCCCCTCTACGATGTATCTCCAAGACTTCGCCCGACTCCCTGTGACGAGCCCACCGACGACCGTCGACGAAGAAAACATCGTGACCGTGATCTTCTAAATCACACAGTGCTAACAAAGGTTTGCGGACTGGGACGATGTGAACATTAGCATGCCTGCGAACACCACCAATGTCTAACTCGTACACCCTCTTCCCGAGGTTCGGCAAGGACGGCGCGACGGTGTCCCCAGGGCCGTAGTACTTCACGCCGCGGCGGGACTCTGGGGAGTCCTTGGTTGGGACTTCTGGGACCAGCTCTGGGGGCCAGACGGTTATCTCCGCGCCGCTGTCGAGACCAATCGTAACCCGCGGGTCTGACCGCGAGTACGACACAGCAGAAACCTCGCTAGCCTCGATTGCCGAGATCCCAAGACTCCCCGCCTCCGAAGGCCCCGCCGCCCCGGATGACGACCCAGAAAGGCCCTGCACCTGCAGCGAAAGCGCCGCCAGCTGCTGTTCGCCTCTTGGGGGCCTCCTGGGGCCTCTTGGGGGCTCCTTGGGGCCTCCTGGGGCACTCTTCAAGCCGGAGGGTCGAATTTTGGAGTCGTGGTCCCCCTCGTGGGCGCATCTTGGGGCCGTCTTGGGGCTCTGTTGGGCTGTCTTGGGCGACTCTGGGGCCCTCTTGGGGCCCTCTTGGGCCGTCTTGGGGCGCTCTTGGGGGCCTATTGAGCCGTCTTGGAACGTCGGACAGCCGAAAAGGCTGGAAGGCCAAAATCGTTCGAAAACCTTCGTAAAATTGACGATTTCGGCCTCTTGAAGCGCTCTGGAGAGGCGTCTTGAAGCGTCGTGGAATGCCTTGGGGGGGCCTCTCGGGCCGTCTTGGGCCTATCTTGGGCGTCCCGGAGCGGTCTTTCGAGTTTGGGGAAGGCGAGTGGAAACCGTTCAGGCAGTTTGGGATGCTCGGGGCAAGAGGCGGAAGCCATCCTCATAAGACATGCAGTCTGCCTGGAGTCCGCCGGAACGCCTGGAATGATCACGCGCTGCGGTTTCCCATGCCAACGTCCTCGAACGTGGGCGCCCTGCCACGAGCGCGTTCCGGGAAGATGCTCCCGGAACGCCCTGAAAAGATCTCGAGGCTCCCAGGTGGCCTCCAAGAGACCCCAAGAAGTCTGATAGGTATCACGGTACGGCCCGAAGAGGCCAAAGTCGTATATGTTCAATGGTCTTTTCAATATTTTTGGCTTCTCGCGTTTTCGAGCTTCCAACGGTCCAAGAGCGCCGAAGAGCCTCCCAGGACCGGCCCAAGACCACCCAAGAGAACCTCAGGACGGCCCCAAGACAGGCCAAGAAGGCTCCAAGACTGCAGAAGAGGCGCCCAGCACAGCCACAGACCACCCCAGACCAGGCCCAAGATGGGCCCAAGAGCGGGAGCAGGAGGCTTCCAGAGACCTCCGAGAGGCCTCCGGGACCCCCCAGAGGCCCCCAACACACACACCCCACCCTTGAGAGGCCCCAAAAAGACCCCGACGAGGCTCCAAGAACAGCCCAAGAGAGCTGCGAGAGCCGTCCCGAGAGAGCCCAAAGAGGGTAAAATCGTTGATTTCCCATGGTTTTCCTTATGTTTTTCGCCTTCTCACGTCTTCCCGCTTCCAGCCCTCAAAGATCGAGGATTTTGGGGGAAAAAAAGAATTCCAAGAGTTCCTGGTTTCATCAAAGTAGAACTCCTACTCGGGAGTCCTACATATCCCCTGACATCTGGCCGGTACCGCGCCTCCTGGCTTCTTAACGTTGTCGCGGAGTCTCCGAAGGCCACAAGGAATCCAGGAGTTGTGGATTTGGGTGAGATGCTCATCCATTCAGGACTCAGGACAGTATGCCTGGGCCCGGGCATACTGTCCAGGCCATCCTGAGCGCGCGCTCAGGTTCCAGCCCAGGCCGGGGGGGCGCTGCACGATCTTGGACGTCGCTATCAAGCACAGGCGCGCGACGGCATCTGAGGAGCCTGTGGGGTGTTCCGCATGCTTCGTCAACTGGCTGTTGGAGGCACCTCTTGGGTGCTTCTTGGGGGGGCGTCTGAAGGTCCCTTGGGGGCATCGGTTCTGCAATCTGAAGCCGTCATTGGCCGTCGTGGAGGCCCGATTTGAGGCCACCTGCGGCCAGATTGAGGCAATCCGGAAGCATCCCGGGTGCCTCCTGGAAGCAGTTTTGACGCATCGAGGGCACTCTTGGGCTATTTTGAAACCTCTGGGACGTCTCCTAGGGGCCTTTTGGGCCCTCGGGAAGCTTATGGCGTCCTCGTCGGACCACTTGGGGGCCTCTTGCGGCCTCCTGTGGGCCTTTTGGGGGGAACGCTCCTGTGTTGGGTCGCGTTCCCCTTCTTGGGCCTCTCTTGGGGCTCTTGGGGCCCTCTCGGGCCGTATTGGGCGCTTCAAGCACCGCCTTGGGGCCCTCGCGGGCCGTCTTGGGGCCCTCTTGGAGGCCTCTTCCTCTATATGGGAGCGGTATTGGAAGCCTCTTGGGCCGTCTTGGAGCATCGGGATGCCAAAAGGCAGAAAAAAAAACGTCAAAGCCCAATCGTAAAACAATGAGTTGTGCCTCTTGGGGCCACCTTGGGAGATCTCTTGGAACCTCGTCGGCCCTCTTGGGAGCTTCTTGGGGGCCTCTTGGATCCGATTGGGGGCCTCTTGGGACTTCCCGAGAACCTCTCGGGGTAGAAAGCTCGGATTCTCGGTTCGAGTTTCCCTTCTTGGGCCTCTCTTGGGGCCGTCTTGGGGCCCTCTCGGGCCGTCTTGGGCGCCTCAGGCACCGCCTTGGGGCCCTCGTGGGCCGCCCAAGGCCCTCTTGGAAGCCTCTTCGGCTATCTTGGAGCTGTCTTGGAGGCCTCTTCCTCCTCCTCGTCCCCCTCCTCCTCCTGATCTTCCCCCTCCTCCTGCAGCGTGTTCCGGAAGGCTCCCGCCGGAACATGCTGTGCACAAGTGCTGTCACTGCTCCCGCCACCGTGCCCTGGGTGGTGGGTCAGAGGCCTCATGGGTGTTGGTTTGGATCTCGTGGTTGGCCTGTCGGGGACGTCGTGAAGGCAGTTTCGCAGCTTCTCGGTAGCCGTTTAGGGACCGTTGTGGGGCCTCCTCGGGGCTGTTTTGTGGCCTCTTTAGGCCTCGTTTGGGCCTCCTGGGTGCCTCTTGGGGGCCTCCTGGGGCCTCTTGGGGGCTCCTTGGGGCCTCCTGGGGCACTCTTCAAGCCGGAGGGTCGAATTTTGGAGTCGTGGTCCCCGTCTTGGGCGCATCTTGGGGCCGTCTTGGGGCTCTGGCGGGCTGTCTTGGGCGACTCTGGGGCCCTCTTGGGGCCCTCTTGGGCCGTCTTGGGGCGCTCTTGGGGGCCTATTGAGCCGTCTTGGAACGTCGGACGGCCGAAAAGGCTGGAAGGCCAAAATCGTTCGAAAACCTTCGTAAAATTGACGATTTCGGTCTCGAAGCGCTCTGGAGAGGCGTCTTGAAGCGTCGTGGAGTGCCTTGGGGGGGCCTCTCGGGCCGTCTTGGGCCTATCTTGGGCGTCCCGGAGCGGTCTTTCGGCGACTCGGCGCCCGCTTGGGCCGTCTTGGGAGCCTCTGGAGGCCCTCCTGGACTATTTTGGACCTCCCCGGCCGCCCCGTCCTCCCATGGGGGGTCAGAGGCGGCGGCCTCCGAGGCCCAGGACGCGGAAACCTTGTAAAAATACATGGAAAATGAGCCCTGGTACCCCCATGGAGGGTCGTCGGGGCAGCTGTTTTCGGGCACCGAGCCCCCTGGGTGCCTCTGGGGGGTCTCCTGGGCCTCTTGGGGCCCCTTTGGGGCCTCCCGGGGCCCTGCGGAGGCGGGAGGCTAGAATTTCCGGTTCGCGGTTCCCCTCTTGGAGCCCTCTGGGGGCCGTCTTGGGCCTCTCGTCGCCCGTCTTGGGCGCGTCTTGGGCCGTCTTGGGGCCCTCCAGAGCCGTCTTGAGCCCCTCTCGGAAGCCTCTTGGGCTGTCTTGGGGCGTCCGCGGGGGGCCTGTGAGCCGTCGTGGAGCGTCGGAAAGCTGAAAAGGCGGGAAAGGCAAAATGTGTCCAAAACCATCGTAAAATTAACGATTTTGGCCTCTTGGGGCCCTCTGGGGGGGCCTCCTGGAGGCCTCTTGGAGCGTTTGGGGGGCCTCTTTGGCCGTCTTGGGCATATCTTGGACATCTTGGGGCCCTCTTGGCGCCCTCATGGGCCTCTTGGAGCCTGCTGGGCCTGTCGTGGAGCGCTCTTGGGGCACTCTTGGGCCGCCTGGGCTGCTCCAGGGAGGCTCCAGGCCCCCCCCGTCCCCCCATGGGGGGTCGAGGCACCTGTCCTGGGGCCCCGCATGCAAGAGCAGTGGAGAAGACGAGAGGCGGCCGCAAAGACTGGAGGAGAGAAAAGAGGGCGCTTTCACGCGGCGAGGCCGCGAGGGGGCGCGCGGGGGCGGCTGGGCCGCAGGACAGCGCGAGCGCGGAGCGGCATCGCGGGCGCACCCAGGAGATGAGACAGCGGCTGCAGTGCAGGGCGGTGCCCAGCAAGTAGGGAGCTGAAGGAGCGGCGGGCCGCCAGGATGGCGGGCCAGGGGGCGGAGGGGGGGAGGACAGTGGCTGCGCGGGACTGCTGCGGTGGGCTTGGCGCGTGGCCCTGCGCCGGTGCGGCGTGGCGGAGGCGAAGCGCGAGCGCGGCGCGGGGAGGGGGGGGCGGCGAGGCGGGGCATAGAGACCCGGCAAAGCCGGGTGGCCAGGGGGAGACGGGGCGCCCAGCTGCCGCAGAGTGACGCGTGGAGGCCACGCAGAAGGCCACGGGCGGCGGGGGGGAGGGCAAAGAGGCAGCGAGCCGAGCCCAAGGCCGGTGCACGCATCACAGCCATGGACCGGGCGGCGCCCAGCGGAAACGGGTCCCGGCGGACAGCCGAGAGGCGAAAAGGGAGGGCGACGCAGGGGCGGCGCCCCCAAAGCTAGGGCAGCACGAGATGCCAGGCAGGGGCAAGTGCCAGCCTGCTGGGCCCACAGCCAGAGGGGCAGCGTCTGCGCGCCAAACGGGCTGGGGCCTGTTTGGCCCGAGGCAAAGCGCGCGTCGCGGCGCCCCAGCGTCGGGCAAAACCTGAATCGCGCGCGGTCACCTAAAGATCGCGTTGCGTTGTTTTTGGGCAGGGGCGAGGGGGGGGCTGGCAGATTGCCTGCTGCGCGCAGGCCCATCAGTCTTATCAAAAACCATGGCAACGATCATGCGCGGGCGTCCGCGATCACTCTGCAGTTATTCGATATAGGGATGACGGGGGGGGCCCTGGCACGCGCGGCGCACCTCGCTCGCGTCTGCATTGGTTCCAGATGGTGGCCGATGACGGTCCCTGCCCGTGCAGAGACTCGAGTGATACGTGGTAGGAGTGCGGGTGGGAGTGAGCGAGACGGCAGTCCTTCGGGAGTGGAG